TTAAAAATTAAAACAACATTTTTAAAGATTAAATTTAAAAAACACTAAAAATGATAGTAAAAAGAAAAAAATTTTAACTTGAGGTGCTTATTTTTGTATCTTCTAATACCGGAATCTGTCAAGTCTGAGGGTGGGTGTGGTTCCTGTCTGCTCCCATTCTATAAATGTGAGCTAAAAGCTGGGGTGGTAAAACGTATGTTGTCAGTGTCCTTCATTTTAGACACCTTCTTTATGTTTAAGGAGCTGCTGTGGATCCTATGAGCTCTTCGGCTTGTGGTGTCTTTCCACACCCACGCCCTGGGGGACAGACACTCAGGGCTGGCAAATATCCAAATTAAAGTGCACCAGAGAGATGAGACAGCAGAGAAGCGAATTCTTCCCTAAAGGAAGAGCCCTATGGAAACCCAGCTCTCCGCCTGCTGGTCTCCGTGCTTTCCAATCCTGCTCCGCAGTAAACTTTCAGTAAGAGAGGAGCAGTCTGCTAATCTGGGCTTAGAGTTCGTGGTCCCACCCAGCAGCAAACCTCCTGTGGCAGGGAGACAGTTGCCAAGATGACACGGCCCACCAGTCAGGAACTCAGAACCCTTAGTCACCTAGTAACCTAAGGATGGTAGGGCTAGCTCCTTAGCGGGTCAGGCCGTGGTTTCATCAAGTTTCCTCTAGGAATATGCGGCCAATTTTCTACATATATCCTCTTTCTGTTTGTTCTTTCTTTGCGGCTTTCTTGTCACCCTTTTCTTCCCAGTTTTCAGTCTCTCTCTTCCTCCTGCCTTTCTTCCCTCCACTCCTCCATCCCTCTTTCTTTCTTTCTTTCTTTCTTTCTTTCTTTCTTTCTTTCTTAGAATACAAACTTTCTTTTATTATCCCAAGTCTTCCTATTCACAGAATTTCATGATGGAAACTGATAATTCACCACCTCTCGCTAGAAACCCTGATATATTTATCAATGTACTGTGGAATTTTGAAATCTTTTTATTTGTGTAGGTTGAAGTCTATTGAATTTGTGGGGTTTATTAAAATTCAACTTACGCATCTGATGCCAAAAATAAAGTGAAAATTTGGTGTCTGATTGCCACATTAACTAAATACAGTAGCATGATAAATAAGAGACCTAAAGACAGATACTGGGGTTCAAGCTTCAAGATGAAGATCAGAGAAGCAAAGCAGCCAAGCCACTAGCTCTTACCTCTGCCTCAGGCTGAAAGGGTTGACCCTGTCTCCATGAGCTGTCACCAAGCCTCTCTGTTTCCTCAGCAGGGCTGGAGAATAATCCTGAGACTGAATACTGAAGACCTTGTTCCTATCTTTATACCTCTTTAGTCCTGGGATTAAAGTGTGAGCTCTGTTACTCTTTTAGATTGACTCAATCTTAGAGAGATCCATCTGCCTCTGTTTCCTGAGTCCTGGGATTAAAGGTGTGTGCCTGGCTTCTATGGCTAAGTGGTATGACTGCTTTGCTATTTTGATCCTCAGTGGCTTTAATAAATCATAAACAATATTTCACAACAACAATCATATGTTAGCTCTCTAAAAGCTGTATTTAATGCCTACCTGAAGAGCCTTATAACCAGCCATGCTCGCTACTCAATCATAAGGACTTTCATTGAGCAACACAGGGTTATTCTCACCACACACAGTATTTTGCAGACCTTTTCACAGAGACCCATCAATATAAAAACAGCCTAAAAGCATCGGGGACGCCAGTGCTGATATAGGACGTGCCAGTGCTGATATTTGCCTCTTTAAGCTACATGACAGGTAAAATGCTGGCTATCTGTCGTACCACAGAACATACAGGCTGATTGAAGGGTCTCCTTTGGCTAAGAGACAAACAACTCAGACAGCCCTTTTTGGCAGTGGAGACAAGCCTCTGCTTGAGATGCACCTTTCTGTATTGCAGAAAGCTCTTGGCCTCTCTTGTTCCAGGGAAGTTCCTCTGTTTTTTTGCTTATGAAACAGAAAGTACATACAGTTTGTGGTTAGTAAGTTAGGCACCCTGGACTGAATGGAAGCTCTGTTTGCCTGATTGGTTGTTGAAGCAAATGCTCTGTAAATGGGATGTCCAGAACTATGGATTATCACATTAAGTACCTGCATCCAAATTCTTAATATTTTTCTATAAGGCTAAAAAGACAGGAGAAAATGAAACATCTTGTGGAGAAATAAGTTAAACATTTCTGCCACCATTTGTGACATCCAGTATTTATCCTGATTAATTCCAATGCCTGCCTGTCTGCTCCCTTTTGCGGGAAATGGAAACTGTCTCTACTATCTATTAATAAAACCTCTTGGATAACTTCCAACATGATCCTGTTATCCATCTTTTGAAAAAAATATAGAAATGAACTGGAAAGACTCCATTGCTTCATTCAGAAGCTGTGCCCCGTAGTAGATTTATGGCTCAATCTTATAGTTCCATGTCCAGAACAGGGCTGATCCTTATGAATGATACAAGTAACAGTGGCAATGAAACTAATATGAATTACTTGTCTGTGGCAAGGTGGCTGTTCCAAGTGCTTTACATGCTTTCTCTAATATGATTTTTAGAGTTATCATATACCGTACAGGCACTGATTGATATGGAAGTGTGTACCTGAAAAGTACAAGAAATTTGTCAAGAATTACAGCTGGTAAGGGGTAGAGCTGAGACTTAAATCTGGTTTGAGGATTAGAAGGTAGCAGTCAATAGAAAAGCCCCATTGTTGGTCTCCACATTTTCATGTGCAGCAAGAGTAGTAAGTCCCCAAGGCTGTGCATGATACAGCCTTCGCTTGAAACAGAAACACATGAGTAGAGTAGCAAAAGTCATTCATAAAATATTCAAGACCATGATGATGATATTAAGAGCAAAGCTTCTCAGTGCATCAAGGACCAGCTGAAGGATGAGTCCCTGGATGTTGATTTCAGGAGATGAGCCTAGAGGTGAGCCGTCTTTCTGAGATCATGAAGAATAGCATTGGGATGCTCATTTTTCCCTGGCTTTTTAAAAATTGTAACTCAAAGAACAAGACACATTTATTTTCATTAAGGAAAACCTAATTAATTATTTCAAGTTAATTAAGTGGATCTGCTCCAAGTTGAGTTTAGCATATAAATCCACATTCAAAAGTGTTACCATCTGGCCTGAATGGGAAAAAATAAGGGGATTGGGGAACAGAGTGAGGAGTTCTGTGGGAAGAAAGTCAGAAAGTAGCCTTTCATCTTAGCTACCTTGGTCCTTCATAAACAAAAGGGTGGAGAAAAAGTACTGTAGTAAGGCTTTTAGCCACGAGTGGGAATTTTTTCTGTTTGTCATTGTCAAAACTGTCTTTTCCATTGTTGTATACGCATCCCTTTAGCTTGTTTACAGTCACCATGTAACTGACCTTCAAACCCTCAGCATCACCTTCCAATTTTCTGCTCTTCTAGCTTCAGTTCGTCTTTGTCCATTTACCAGTTGCTGCTACTTCTAGAGTATGAGCATGAAAAATAGACAATAGAAATAAAATAGATCTCTTCTGTAATAGACAGAGGATGTGGTGTGTTAGTTCCTTTCCCATTGCTGTGATAAGAAGCCATAACCAAGGGAGCCTGTGAAAGAAAGCATCTATTTGGGACTCAGAGCTATAGAGAGCGAGTCCATGTTCATCACTGTGGAAAGCATGGCAGCAGGCAGGCAATCATGGCTCTCAAGCAGTAGCTGGGAACTCTCCCATCTTGAGACAACAACCATGAAATACAGATAGAGAACTGGGAATGGCTTGGGCTTTTGAAACCTCACAGCCTGACTGAAGTGATGCACTTCCTCCAAGGAGGCCTCACCCCCAAATCCTTCCCAAATCAGGGACAAAGCATCCAAATATATGAGCCAATGGTAGCCATTCTCATTCAAGCCACCACTGTGGCCAAGACTGGGTTGACAGAAATTGTATTAATAGAGGTCTGGTGTGTCCTACTTGTATTGTATTGTATTGTATTGCTTTGGTCTATCTGGACCTCTGCTTCTCCAGGGACTAATACATTCTTGATGAGAAGAGCCAGGCTTTTTTCCATTTCTATTTCCCTGGTATGTAATTGCATGTTTCAGGCACAGGAGACATTGTAAGAAGCCATGAAGGCATGAGTGAGTAAATGAATAAAGGATAAAGGAGTGAATGTGTGTAACTGAGTAAAATAAGAAAATTGGCAATTCTTGTCTTTTAGCCTTATTCTCCCTAATGAAGCTCCTTAAGATGGTCCAAGGTTGCAATTTTTAATAAGTATTCTTGACATTATAAACCTATACCACCAGCTCTTCCAACACACACACACACACACACACACACACACACACACATCAAAGCAACAAAACAACAAGACAAAAAACCCTCTGAAGTGTCAAGCAAATTGTTTAGAAAGAAGAACACAGCACACATGGTCCTGTTTGGTTTGGTTTCTGCTGAGTAGGGCAGCAATGCTGCGTTTTACTGCTTCTCCCTGTTCAAGGATAATCCAATCTTGCAGCGACAGCTACTGAAGTCAATAACAGTTCTTAGAGGGGAGACAAATCATGTCTGCACTGGATTACAGCAAAACAGAATGCCCTGCCACTGCTGTCAGTGAGAGCTTCCTTGTTTGTGGCTTCATTATGCCCTTAAATGAAATATCTATATTTCTTCTGGATTTAATGAGGCTATAGACAACCGACTCTTTACAGAGTAATGTTGGAGAGTTTTTGCTTTGAATTTGATATATTCTAATTTGCGCTTAACTACCCTTCCCAAGCAATTCAGGTTCTCAGATGGGCATTTTAGGGATAATTAGCTAAATGTTCCTCTCATTAGCCACGGCGCCTAGAAAAAGACAAAGGGAATCAATAAGACAAAGCCAGTTTAGGAGAACATTGACTGTCCGTCAGGAGGAGCAGCTACTTCATCAAGTTGTGTGTTCCTGCAGGAGGCAGCTTCTCCCAGCCCACACATCATTAACCTGTCAGTGGCAGCTACGATTTTCTGCTCAATCACCTTTCTGTTCTGTTTTAGTTTTCAGGACTTTACCTCCTGTCTTTCTTCACCATCCTCATTGGGCTGGTGCTCTACTCCTCCACCTCCACGTACATAGCCCAGGATCCCCGAGTGTACAAGCAATTCCGTAATCCTTCAGGACCTGTTGCGGACTTACCCAGCACAGCTCAGGTGGAGCCTTCAGTCACCTATACCAGCCTGGGCCAGGAGACAGAAGAAGAGCCCCATGTACGTGTGGCCTAGGGGGAGGCCTGCCCTGCCCACTGAGGACAACTCAGAGGCCATGTGTTGCTCATCATCTCTGTATTGTACATAGAGAAAGGTATTTAGTAGGTGCAGTTTGACAGGTGGACCGCAAGGTAGCTAATCCTCCTTTTGTAAAAGGAAAAAAGCTGAAGGCCACTAGAGACACAGGCTTCAATCCACCTGATTCAGAGAGAGGCTGTGATAGTATGTATCCTGACCCAACCCCCACCCCTGCATTAATTACTGTGAAAATTTTTGAATCAAAAGCAAGTATTATTGTTACTATGATTTTTATTATTGTTGTTACTGTTATTACACCACTTTCAGGAGGAGGTTTTGTATTCCTGGTGGGAATTATTGCCAGACCCTCACGTAGTCCGCATACTCCCCCTTTTCTATGGCAAGTCACTTTTTAAGAACCATACCTTTTGTTTTGTTTTGCACAGACTATATGAGTGATGCATGCCACAGAAGCTCTACCCTTCAGAAGTTCCCTCACCCTGGTGACCTTGTGGCTAATGGTTTCCTCTGTCACCTGTTGGATTGCCTGCTCAATAAGGATTTTGTGCCGTGACCCTTGTGGGGAGGGGAAACTGACCATATAATTCTCTATTCTAGGAATAGATATAAAACAAACATTTTAGCCTTTTTATATTTCATTTTCTGCTTACTCCAGGCCATTGGCTTTCTTTCGGGCCAGGAGATTCACCTAATGAGGCCCTGTGACTATAGGATAAGAATTCTCCTATTTTTGTAGCTTACAGGAAACCCTCTAAATAAAATCACTTATGTTTAGGGTTGTAAGATTTTTTTATTTTTTTTCTGTCCTTCCCTATATCACACTCCTCAAAAATTAGCTTCTGTTTTAATTTTTTTCTTAATGATGCCATGGAATTAATCAAATACTGAAAAAGCCATGTCATTTGCCCTCTTAGTTATATAGTACCTCTTGGGGAGTATGCCAAGTTGGACACTATGTTTATTGTGGGGCATCACTGTTTATGCCACCTCCTGGAGCAAGGTACTGATGTGGAACAATCTCTGTTTGTAGCTCTCATGTTCTGGTCCCTTAGTAGTGGTAAAGATGTTGCCATTGAGAAGTCTGGCATTTTGGTCACAATGGATACCTATCTAATAGCAGAATATAAGGATAGGCATTTGTACACACAGAGGATGCAAGAGCATCCCAGTGAAGCTTGATACATCACTAGTTTAATCAATTCTGTTGTCTCAACAATGTCTCCCCCACCTGCAACAGAGGAAATTGAGAATCTCCACAGACTTTTATAATTTAGAATAGATTCCATATGTATGTGTGGAAGTACTCTGTAGCTTGGCTGACTCCAACACCGTTCAAAAGGATCCTTGGTAGAGTTACAGATTTTTTATAAATGTTCATGAAACTTGAGACAATTCAATTCAATATATTTTGATCAAGCAAGCAAAACAAAACACTAGTGGGGGAGTCCCATAAAGCAAGAACAGATTTTAGTAGGGCCTGAACAAGTCCTAAACACGGCAGGCAGGAGCCCCCGCCTGTTCACCAGTCAGCCTCTGGCCTCTTTGTCATCCTTCTCCTGTGAAGTCATCATGATCCACTTTGACAACTCTCATAAGAACAACACATATCCAAAATAAGTAATGTGCTTGAAAACTGTAACTCAATTACAGTATTTTTTCATTGGAAAATATAACTTTTCTTCTAAAGTATTGTTTAGTTCTGACCTAGGAGAAAGAAAAGCGGTTTTCTGATATGCATATTTCATGCCAGATTTCCCCCATGGAACTAGGTTTTCTTTCTTGAGTGGGGTGGACACGGGGGAGAAAGGTTCGGGCTAAAGCTACATGTCATATCCTACATAACCTTGTCAACATCTGCTCTCTGCTACCTTTAAGCCAATTAAATACCTTTCTCTGAATATTTTGTCCATTCAGATCCGAAGACCTTTACAGACTGTGCTTTTATTTTTGTGTTTACATTCCTTTGATTTGCATACTTTACTTGATTTGTTGCATTTTTAGTATTTATTTTAAGCCAAATGTCTTTGTCTTTTTTATTCATTTTTATGACACTGATTTGTAGACACTCGGTAAACTCTTGGGAGAAACAAGTAGCTGAAATTGTTTCCGAGTTCATTCAGTGGGCTAGGCACATGTTTAAATTTAAAGTTTGAAAAGGTTTGCAATTAACTGATGGCTGAAGGTTGTCGTCTGGACCATTTTATAGGATGTTTTAACTGACTCCATTGTATGGAAACCAAGTATGACTATCAAGATGAATTCAGTGTATACTTTTTGTTACTGGATGTGATGTCTTTGTTATCAGACATTCATACCACTGGATTACTTCACCTGTGTTCGTTTATCTCCATTTATAAAGCTGGTAACATTGGCCATCCAAGATCAGAAATTTAGAATTGACCCTTAAGGAAAAAAAGACAAAATGTTTCAAAGAGCCATGTTTTCAGTATGAAAACATTGGTGGTTTGAGAGTGGGTGGGAAGTGGGAATAGGGTAACATTAACTGTAGCAGTTTTAGTTTCTGAGATTCTGTAACCTCAGTAGACACCAGGAAGAATTTCAACGTCTTACTCCACCACTCTCCTCTCCTCAGTGAATGAGAACAGTCCTTTGTATGATTGCTGATGAGGAGCAAACCACAGCTCTCTTCAACCTTGCCAGAGATGAGTAGTGGTTTTCACTTCCTCACCGGAAACTTGCACTGGGGACAGAACTTGCCTTGGTCAGTCAGATCTCCCCACAGCTTCAAACACATATCCAGGTAGACCAAGCAATGGACCACTTTGCACCACTGTGTACCATGGAAAGGTTTCAATGTTTAGTTTAGGTATTGCTAACTTGTGCTATTAACCTTTTGACAAGCTTGTAGTATTGTTTGTTTGGGGTTTATTTTTTATTTGTAACCATTTAGTAGTCCCCAGCTAGCTATCAGTACAGATTTTACCCCATGGGTAGGAGTCTATCTTCATACCACGTTACAAAGCACACTAATCCTGACATCACAATGGAAAATATGAACCAAAATAGAAACAAAAGAAAAAAAAAGAACTTCACACTGGGAAGCTGAACAAGCAATCCACCTTTCCTATGTGCATGCTCCCCCATGGACTGGCTGTGGCAATGTAACACCTGTACAATGTTTTCAAATAAAAAATACATGCTTTATGAAAGCAGCACGCTTCTGGCTCTCTCGTGTGTTTGTCTACATTGTGACAACCGTGACAGCAGTTCCCTTGAGATGCTAGAAATAGCAACAACGGCAGAGAACCCAGCACACGTCAAAATAAAAACCATAGAGAAAATAGCTCCAAATTAGGTATGGCATAGTCTCTGAACTGTAGTTTCAAGAAGTCGTATTAAACACATTTGTAAATTGCTTCAGGGTACTAAAAAGGGCTCTTGGGATAGAGCTTCCATGTCCACCTGGAAAACTCATTCAGGATAATGGAAAGCTACCCACAAGGTTTCTTATGAAGAAATTTCTGGGTACACTGCCCTGGGCATAGCACAGACCTTGTTATGTTCCACCTGTTTTCCCAATGAGTTGTCATTTTCTTAAGAGAAAGAACCGATTTCCTAAATACTCAGGAGCTCCTGCAATAGCAAGATGACGAAGCATTAGAATTTCATAACTATTTATAAGAAGGAAAACAAACAAACAAACAAAATAAGACTAAAATTCACAGGCCAGCTGTCATTGATTAGATTGTCTTTTTTCCCCACAAGAAAATGTGTGATATAATAGCCCAACACAGATCCAGCTAATCTGTTCAGTGCCCAGCAAAACACCTGGCATATGGAAGACATATATACATCTTATTTTACTAGAATCTACCTGCAAAACCATAAATACAAAGCACAAGCATGAGTAAATCTATTAAAAAATGTTGCCCTTCTTCTCTTAGATTTTTATTATTATTATTATTCCAACAGAATTCTTGTTCTTGTAATTGAAAAGAATCAGCACATCCACTCAAGGGAACTTAAGAAAATCACTTACAATGTTTAAAGACCTCCAGGTTTAGGGCTGAGACAGAAAACAACAAAGGTCTTTACTTTCAAATAAAATCTTATATTTGTATCATAACTTCTTAATTGTGCAATCCAATCACACTTTTTTTATTCTTCATTTTTGTCTTTGATATTCTTCCCTCTTTTTCATTTCTACAGTCAGAGGGCTCATTAGGGTATATCTATGAAGGATTTAAAAAAATCTATTGCAGCTGAAAAGCCCTGCCACTTCCAGGTGGCCTGTACTGAGACTCAAGAAGACAAGACATTGAGTGTCACTCTTCATACATCTAGACAAGTCTCCTCCAAACATGACCACATAATGATGAACTTTACATACTGAAAAGCAATCTTTCTGAACTCATCTCAAACTGATGTCGCTGGTTAAAATGTATCACCTATAGATGTACGTACAAGATGCTTTAAGTAGGCTGAGCACATGATTTGTGATATAATCCATTAATACTTTCAATACAAAGGCAGACATTGATAGCCATACATAGACAACAGGTGCAGATCTGGTGCAACAGGTACAACCTGGGAATACAGTCACATTGACTTTAAGACAAACTGGTTCATCCCTACCCATGCAAGCTGGCAGCATAGCATCTAGCCATGTCTTCCTGCCACGAGATGGCAATGAATCAGAACAGGAAGACAGGCTGCTCACCTGCTCACCTGCTCACCTGCTCACCTGCTCACCTGCTCACCTGCTCACCTGCTCACCTGCTCACCTGCTCACCTGCTCACCATGGATAGCTATTAGTTACTTCTCTTTAGTGTTCCCTATCTTGTGTAGGCCTCCCATGAATGCTCAGAGCTGCTGTAAGTCCAAGAGAGTAACAGCCAAGTCATGCCTGTGAACAGGGATACAAAATAACTGTGAAACATTTTACTGCTGTTAGAGATAGCCCCTACTTGGATTCTGAAAGCAAACCCTATTTTCTACAAGACGATCCTGAAGA